TTTATATTATTTAAATTAAAACAATACTTCAAGTCTTCTTAGGTAGAAGTAGAACTAACTATTCATTTAAGAGAAATAAGGAAGCTTAAAAAATAATAATAATAATATCGCCCAAATAGTATTGCAAGACAACATGTTTAGAGAGAACTTGCCTTAAAATAAAAAATTGTTAGAGAACTTGTCTCTTTGAAACTCAGTAGAAAAGAAACTCAATTAATAGTTAGTTGTTTTACATGATTCAGTTGTTGGATAAAATAGGAACGTCAAATAAAAAGAAGCAGTTTTCACGAGAAAATATTATTTTTGCGTGTTTTGTGTGAGAAAAGTTTTGGGGGAAACTAGTTTAATGCGAGAAACTATATTTTCTATTACGATTCTTTTTCCATCTATCGAAACTCTAAAAAAATTTAAAAAAAATTTCTTCCCTTTTTTTTCTAGTTGACTCCATCTAACCAAACGAACCCCTATTATCTTCTCTCAAACTTTACTTTACAGTATTTATTTTTGTGCTTGTGAATGTTTAATTAAACATAATTATGGGTGATTTAATCAAACACAAAAACTACTCACATATGTTAGAAAAATAAAGGAATGGTAATATTATATTGTACTGCATTAATGAAGAGTACATAGAGATCCTATATATAGGAGAAAATTTAGGAGTAGGTGAGTGATGACCAAATCATCTATACATGGTATCTATGTATGTACACATGGTAACTAGGTAAGTGCAGAAGTAAACTTGTAATCTAACAGTTTGGTGTTGTTTGATAAAACTAAAAATTAAGTATTGAAATTGTTAAGAGCTGAATTTTAAGTGTTGAAGTTTTTAAGTGGTAATTAAAAAATAAATATTTTTTGATATCTTTTTAAATTTTCGGCATTCAGCATTTAGCGATAAGTGATAAGTGATGTCATTGTCACTTAAAATTTTATCTCATTTTAAGTGATGCTAACCGTTTACAGTGATATTAAAAGTGCATTATCAAACACATTTAGACTCTATTTGGGGGAACTTATTGATCTTCAAATTCCTTCCACTTAACGGGCTTTGCAAAATGCATTTTAATGGAAGGAATTTAAAGGAAAAAAGTTGTTTGGTGGATGTATTTTTTTAAAAAAAATTTCTTAACTAAACACAATTTAACTTGACAATTTTATCCTTAATTATAATGAATAGTACAAACGTGATAGCATGGTTGAATTATTCTGGATATAGCAAGAGAAAAAAAATGAAAAAGATAATTAGGGTAATGGAGTGAAAATCAGAGATTATGGAGCAACAATTAATTGGCATATCAATGTTGTTCATACTTTTTTTGTAGATACATTGCTGACAAAGTGAAGATCAATATATACATATTGATAGAACTTGAAGAAAAAAAAATGAAACAGTGAGAGAGATTGTTGTAGTTTAGCATAATTATTTAGACTCAATTTCATTCTTATTTCTAGTTATATTAAAACCCTAACTTGATACGTAAAACAAAAGAGAGGTCTTAAAAAAAATCTATTATATATATATATATATATATATATATTGAGAGTTAGAAAGGTTGTTCAGAATTATATAGAGAGTTGAATTTTTTTGGATGAGAGTTCAAATATCTTTATAATTCTTTTGCTCCTTAGTCTTTGAGATCAAATGGAAATCAATCAAAAAAAAATTCTGCAAATTCTCCACGTCTTGTCTTCTTTTCTTTTAAAATAAGGATACATATGTAATTAGGGTAATGGAGTGAAAATCAGAGATTATGGAGCAACAATTAATTGGCATATCAATGTTGTTCATACTTTTTTTGTAGATACATTGCTGACAAAGTGAAGATCAATATATACATATTGATAGAACTTGAAGAAAAAAAAATGAAACAGTGAGAGAGATTGTTGTAGTTTAGCATAATTATTTAGACTCAATTTCATTCTTATTTCTAGTTATATTAAAACCCTAACTTGATACGTAAAACAAAAGAGAGGTCTTAAAAAAAATCTATTATCTATATATATATATATATATATATATATTGAGAGTTAGAAAGGTTGTTCAGAATTATATAGAGAGTTGAATTTTTTTGGATGAGAGTTCAAATATCTTTATAATTCTTTTGCTCCTTAGTCTTTGAGATCAAATGGAAATCAATCAAAAAAAAATTCTGCAAATTCTCCACGTCTTGTCTTCTTTTCTTTTAAAATAAGGATACATATGTAATTAAAAATTGTTAGTTAAAATTATCCAGACGAACTAAGTTCCAAAAGCAAGTTTTTCGAGCTTTGCTTGAACAGAATTTTTAGGATTTTCATGTTTGTTGGAATTCCTTTTATATTGGTTAACCAAACACTCATTTTTTTTTTTTTAAAAGGGCTTTATGGACTTGGAAGCCCGTTCGAAGCCGTCAGAAAACTCAGCCAAATAGGCACTTAATTGGATAAACACATTTAATTAGATAAGCGTTTAAAACATTCGGTAATTAAATTGAGTAATCAAACATCACCTTCATGTTGACGTATTATACATTCCATTGAAAGTATTGTGAAGTGATATTTGGTGTATTATTCATTTTGTTATTGAAACTAATGAATGCTTTATTAATGTTATCTTTGAAAATCATGTTGTATTTTGAATATGTGTATGTATTCATTCCATTGTAATAAGTAAAATATATATAACAAAATTCTATAAATTTTGTATTTTTTTTGGGAACTATTCTATTACAATTTTATGAACCCAAATCTCACTCGTTCGGTTGGTTCAAGGATCTGGATCAAAATTGCCAACTATTTCTATTGATGCAAAAATCTACATGCTCCAGAGCCAGTAGCAATTTCTGAAAGACAAGTCCGGAGCGATTCCTGCAAGATAAAAGAGAAGTGATAACCGGCGTGGTGCCGGCCGAGTGCACTCCAACAGTCAAGTTAATACCCGAAAATTGAATATCCAATCCAGGCCCCAATATAGGATTTATGGCGTACCTTTTTATGTTGACTGGCCTCACTTTTATAGAAAGTTAAAGTTGTCGTTTCCGCATTTCCTTCCGGGAGAGAAGGGATTAGTTAATCGTATCTTTAGTGCAACCTTTGAATTAATCAAATCTTATCATTTAATTACCTTATGAGATGATCACCTTATCTTAATTACCTTATCAATACGGTTTGGCTTACCCTATCTCCTTAAGTTTATCCATGCCCTTTGAGTCTCCATATCACTTGGAATTCTTATCTAGTCGAATATTCCGTATCAGTAGCCCCCCCATTCCCGAAATCTTGCTTGTCAAGCGTCGGGAATGCCAAGTCCTTCCAAGCTAAGCATGCTTGATGATTACTTTCTTGCCCCTTTTAATAAGGGACTGGATTTGCTCAAGCTTTGTGAGCTCACCCTTTAATAAGGGAGTAGCTAACCCCTCGTCTCTTTATCGAGGGAAGAAAATGAAGTTGACCCTTCGTTCCTTTACGGGGAAAAGAGGTGTAGTCTTAATGAGGATGACCCTTTTAATACGAGATGTAGTCGTCTCGTCTCTCTAGTAAATGAAGGAAGCTTTAATTATCTCACCCTTCTGTATAGAGAAAGTAGTTGGATTCTTGTCCCTTTAATAAGGGAAGAATGTGTTATTGGCCCTTGGTCCTTTTAACGAGGAAACCTTTAATAAGGTGTAGTCGGCCTCTCGTCCCTTTAATAAGGGAAGTAGATTAATACAAATTTCACTCAGCTCACCCTTTAGCAAGGTAAGTAGATTAATGCGCTTCACTTAGCTCACCCTTTAACAAGGTAAGTAGATTATTATGAGCTTTACCTAGCTCACCCTTTAATAAGGGAAGTAGATTACTATGAGCATCACTCTTTAAAAAGGGAAGTCACCCTTTAAAAAGGGAAGTAGATTACTATGAGCATCACCCTTTAATAAGGGAAGTAGAATACTATAAGCTTCAACCAGCTCACATAGAATTGATCTTGTAGTATGATGGATGTGAGAGTTTTCCTTGGCTCAGCTCATTGTGATGAATGTGAGAGGTTGTCAAACCCGTGTCGCAGCAAAGCCTTCTACATTTTAGTCCTTTTTGTATAGTTGGATTCACTTAATCCATTTTTATTTTTTGAGAGATAAGCAATTAATTGAATTTCTTGTATCCGGCGTACAAAAAGAGACTTGTTGATTCATCTGACTTCCAGTCGGGTGGCAATGTCAGTCGCGGCAAAGGGTTGGAACCTGAATCGGGTTTGCCAATTGGGTCCATGATTCAAACAATTCTATTTGTTGGACAACTGAGATTCGTTTTTGTTTGTGGAGTCTTTTGGATTTGCGCTGTTCAAGTTTGGGATTTCTGAATTGATAATAATTGGGCGTATGATTGACCGTACAATCTGTTACACCAGTATACGCATCATTTGTCGGGAGAGGTACTGCAAGTTGTCTTTTCCATCGGCTTTGCTAGAATCTTACAAAAGTGTAGCAAGACTATGCTTTCGCCAAAAGAAGATGCCGCCATGCTTTTCAGTGAAGAGTTTGCAGAGATCTGTTTTCTGAGATCATGAGCCAGTGATATCTCAAATTTCTATGATGACAGTTTTCCATGGTCGTAACAGAGTGCATGTATTGTGAAGCATGTGTTAAAACCATAAAACCACCCATATAATTCTCAATTGCTTTTTTTTTTTTTTACTAAAAGATAGCATAAATGTTACTCGAGGTCATATATTTCATTGTTGTGAAATACACCCTTGTTTTCTGAGTTCCTCGCTTGTCATCGTATGATTCAATCTTTTGCAATCCATCACACACACCGCAATGATCTTATTGAACATTTGTGGTCACGACAAGGAGAGACTTGAGGAAGTATGTTTCAGATGTCCTTTGTTTTGATCCTTGATTTATTAGTATATGTGTTTTGTACACTAGATAGTGTACAAGTGAGTTTGTATTTTTATTCTTTTGTTGTGAGTGTTTGTATTTTATTTAGTTTGTTTGCCTTGTTAAAAAAAAAAATCATCAAATCCATGTTTGGCATTTCAATACTACAATTCAATAAAATCCATAACAATGATCCAAAATAAATACATAAGCATAACAAAAAAAAGTAGATAATCATGGAGATGGGGAAGAGGAACATAATAATCAAGGTTTGTTGAGCGTGCTTGTAGTTTGACAAGAATCTCATCCTTACGCAGCTGGTAATAAACTTTCGCCTGAGGGTCCTTGTTGGAAACGTCCATCATCATAATCTTATCATCTCTCTCTTTTTCCTTGGCTTCTTACTCCTTTTGATTCATTTGCTCCATTACTCTAACTTTTCTTTCTTCTATTTCGAACTTCTTCAGTCTACTCTCACTTGCATCAGATGCATTTTTGTTAAAATTTTCCATCAAATCACAAAAATGAGTGTCTGAAGTATCTGCTATCTTGTTTTTCCTATGTACTTTTTTTGTAGCTTTCCTTTCACTAGGCCTTTTGGTTCTTGGGGAGTCAACAGCAATTCCGGTTAGATCTTGATCGAAATCGAGAGAAATGGGTGTTTCTTGAATTTAGGATGAGAAAGAGGAATATGGGGTCATTGCAGGAGACTTTGGCTTTTTGGAGGATGCCCAATCTTCCCACTTAATGCAATGTTCCAAGATCGCCCAACAGTGATCCAAAGAAAAATGTTTCTTCTCATTTTCATAATACATACTTTTTTCTTTAAAAGCCTATAAAAGGATATAAAACAAAATTAGAAGTATAAAAATTAAAATTAGAACTAACAAGAAAAGTAGAAATCTTACTTTATCTATTTTATTGATTCCACTTTATCAATTTGTGTGAGGCACCCACTATATTTACCACAACGCTTCATGATTATGCCCCAACAAGATTGGATAGAACCTTGTGTTCATACATTTTCGTCGTTGTTGTGATCAAGATAATTTTGGAATATCCGACTCCAAAAATTACTTTGTGATTGCGAGTTACCAACAATTGGATCTTGGGTGACGCTCAACCAAGCATTACAAATTGCTACATCTTGATCCGGTGTGAATGAATTTCTCCGCCTTGTTGATTGTTGAGTGACTTCAATTTTTCTTTTGGAAAAAAATTTAACCTTGGAAAATTTATCCACAAAGAACGCTTACAATGCAAAATGGACATAAAGGATGCTCAAAACACCAATGGTTCAAAACCTCTTTCAAATTCTTACATTTTATTGAATCATGAGATCATATGGGCTGCTAGCATTTTCCTACTTCTACTAACACTACAATCCCAAATAGAAAATTTTGACCTTTTGATTACAATAAAGAGCACATTTTTTACCCAAGAGATGTCTTTGAATTTAGGACTTCCAGAGATGCGAGTTACCAACATGGCATCTTCGACCTTAACATTTCAAGTGCTATATTCAGAGGCAGCAAGTCACCACTGAAGCACATTCCATGGTTTTGACTTGAGTCCAAGGCGGCAAGGCCCGTGGCGAATTATTAAGTCAATCATATCACATGAGAAACCTTCAGCCGCAATATGCGATGGATATAATTCAAATTTAAAGGGAACATTAAAATTTACAACGAAAGCTCCACTTGAAAACATGTGCTGGTACATCTTTCTCCCATTTATTTGTTTTTTTTTTTTTTTTTTGCTAATTCATGTACATATAGGGATTTCACTAGGGAAACAAATCCAGCCTGTTATCCTATCAATGACTTATCTGATTTCAATTTCAGACTAAAATTAATTTGTTTATAATCCATGAGAATCAGGTTTGCATATATGGATTAAAACAAACCAAACAGAGCAGATGATGATAAACTTAAAAGATGTAAATCGAAACAATCAAATCAGACAAATAAACAGGAAAGGCTTAGATAACCACGAGATGCAAGTGAGAGTAGAATCCAGCAATTTCGTAGAGTCCGAAGAACCCTAAAGAAATCCAGGACATAGTAGCGAGATCTTACAAACATGATAATCAAGAACATGGTTTGGAGATCGTACCAGCAATTTCGTCGAGCACGGATAATCCTAGCCTGATCTTCCCATGAATCGCAGAGCGACTTTGTCGATCCCTGGTTGCAAAACAGTAGACATGGCAACGAAAGGGAGAGAGATACTGCTAGGATTGTGCGTGTGAGAAACGGCACCGTATGAATAAAAAAAAAAAAAACAGACTTCTCAAAATTTTTTGAGAACTGTCATTTATGGCAATATCTTTTACAATCTCAAGATATGACAAATGTCTATATTTTGACTTTGATAGGCCGTTTGAGAGGGCATTGGAGATGCTCTAACATGCTCAATAAAATTTCAAATTAAAAGAGAGATGCATTGTTCAATTAAACTGACCCGCCAATGCTCTAGGTAGTATAAAGGTAAAATTTCAAGTCTCCTAGTTGATATTTATGAGAATGTTTGTGAGTATTTACATAACCAAAAAAATATATATATAGTGAATTAATTTTTATTCAATAGAAGGCACCTTGATATACATTTTTAACACAAAACTCATGTCATGCTGTGTGGGTTGTCTTCTTGGTGAATGTAATTGTCATATAAAATTAGTGCTTCAAGTCTAACAGAATGTGAGATATCAAATTGCGAATTTGTTCGACACTTTATTGTGTTTGTATATATATATATTGGGTACTTACTTTATTGAAATTTGGATGCAGAAGAACAGTAACAGACGAGCTGATACATTTTTCAGGAGAGGTTAGTTTGAAGAGAGCCATTTTTGGAAAATTTTAACACATTTTTGCTCGCGATAAGTAGAAGATATTTATCAACATCCAAAAATTAGTGGATTCAAAATTAGTCATTGTTTCCTAGTCATATAATTTTAAAATAATTTCCGTAACATGCATGTCAAGAGTCTCAAGACTCCTGTGCTAAAAATAAAAAAAAAAAGTCAAAACTTCATCACATAAAATTCGATTATTATCAGTGATATTGAAAGTAAATATAACATTTGGTCTAATAAATAGTTTATTTATCAAGAATTTAAGTAATAAATTGAGTTATCAAATATATAACACTTAATTTGACAAAAAAATTGATTTAATTTCATTGAATAAAATCTACAAACAATCCATCCAGACCAGCCCGTTGACTTACTCATATCTAAAGAGAAAAGATTCACAATTTCTTTTTCTTTTATTCAAAGAAACTCAAGAGAGATGAAAATTAACCTAAAACCAACTTCAAGAAATGTTTTGAGGGCAGAAACCAAATCGGGCTCTGGATAGAAGACAACAATTGATGATCTGGTCGACGAAGTGGTCCAATGTCCCTTCTTTCAAGTCAAATATGACCATGTATACTATGATCATCTGTGAAGTATTATGGAATTCAGTTCACATTGACAAGGTAAAACACAAATGGCATGGTTATCGTCTAGAAGCATGTTCCCTTACACTAACCCAATTATGAACCTTATTTAGACCTAAAACTAACTTGAAATCTAAGAATTTGTTAGTCCACCTCTACGAACGGATAGATTCTTAAATGATTCTAAATGGTGACACTTGGTTCTTGTGATGACCCTGTGGGCGAATGTGTTGTGGGCAGATGCGAGACATTGACAGGCTACCACACTGGCGAGTTATGGGTGTACAATCTCACATCGCCTGTGAAAGGAAAAAGTGAAGTGCTTATATGTAGGTATGTCACTCCAATTGATACGAGGCTTGAGGTAAAACTCAAGAGTAAAACCGTGCCGGCTCAGGCCCAAAACGGATAATAACAGAGTCTAATAAAATTAATACTCACTTTTTTTTGAATCCCATCGTAATGTAATTTTAGTTTCTCTAAACCTATTTAATAAATAAATATTATAATGTTATTTATTTTATTTATCATTTTGTAAAATAAAAAAAAAAAAAATCTAACAATATATATTTGTTAATTAGAATATGCTAGAATACATAGTGTACAGCTCATATATCATAGCCTCACCTATAGCATTGCCTCACTGTTTCAAACCTTTTTTTTTTTTTTTTTTTTTTTTTGAAAGTTAAAGTTAAATTGGATTAAAAAAAGAAGAACAAGGCTAGCCATGGCTAACCGATGGGCCAGGCCCAGAATACAAACCTAGATTGAAATAATAACAACCCAAAAAGGCACAAACCAACATAAGAGCTAAAACCATAACAGCTAAAACCATATGTTGTGCCACAAATTCCGGTTACAGTAGGAAAACTCCGGCGAAATAGCACATCAATTGCTGATGTCCGGTGGTTTTCTTGGAGGTCCCATTCTGCTGCAATCCTTGGAGCATTAGATGTATCGCTGACAGATGAAAGTATGATCTTTGCTTTAACAAATTCCGGAGTTTGGTGAAGAAGTGAGTTTGCAGAGACGGACTTCTTTTGAAAAATCCTTCTGTTTCTCTCGATCCATGTATGGTACACCAAAGCTGCCAAGCTCATTTTTGACGGAGTATGGCTGTGAGTAGCTAAGTATCCCTTCCAATGATGTGCAGCCCAATTAATGAGGTCAGGCCAGGATGATGGTTGGGTGTGAAACCCCCATCTTGGTTGTAGAAATGTCCACGGGGGCTTGACAAAGGAGAACTGAAAAAATAGGTGGTTGTGGGATTCTAATTCTGTGTTGCAAAGGGTACATAATGATGAGTTAATGTGTGCTATACATCTCCTGTTTAAAGTAGGTAGTCTTTGTTGGATTGCCATCTAGAGTACGAAAGAAGGTTTGGGGATAGAGGGTTTGGTCCAAACTAAGTGAGTCCAAGGTAGGGTTGGGAGGGGCTTGTTGAAATGTTTCATGGTGTGTGCAATAGAGAATTAACCATTGGGTGAGGGCATCCAAATTTGTTTATCATTGCAGCTGGCTTGGGGATTTGGAAGGTTGGTTATATGCTGTAGCTGTGGGATGATGGACAGTATTGAAGGGGGAAATGACCAAGAGTTATTAGTTATGAAGGATCCTACCTTTGTTTTGTTGGGATAGCCTGAGAGTGAGATCATTTGTGGATATGTCAATTGGTGCAAAGGACCAAGGAAGCACCAATTGTCAAACTAAAAATTGGAGCTTGAACCATCTCTAATTTTTATCCTGGCAAGTGATTTAATTGTATCCCTGAGGCTGAGCAATTTCCTCCAGTTCCATAAGTATTGGCCTGGGACCTTGACCTCCGATATACTTCTTCCTTTTAACAGATAGATGTTGATCCATTTTACCCACAACATGTCCTTTGACATGATTATGTGCCAGAAGTGCTTCATTATTGCAGTTTCATTCCATGTATGGAGATTTGGCAATCCAAGACCACCTGCTCTCTTTGGCAAGCAACATTTATCCCAAGCAACCTTTGCCCCAGTTTTCTTCAAAATTGGACCTGTCCAAAGAAAGGCTCCAAAGATGCTCTAAAACTCTTGAGTGACACTCATTGGTAGGATAAATTTCGAACTCCAGTATATCTGTGTTGAAAATAAAACAGCTTTAATAAGCTGTAATCTTCCTGCAAAGGAAAGATTTTTACTGTCCAGTGAGCTATCCTTGCTGTGATCTTGTCAATACAGAGTCTACAATCATTGGCTCGAAGCATGGTTGTCACCAATGGAACTCCTAAGTATCTTACAGGTAGTTCCCCTTTCTCATAACCCAACAGTGAGAGAATGTCATCCTACAAGTTATCATTCACACCTGAGAAGTAGACATGACTCTTACTATGGTTGATGTGGAGACCAGGGAGGTTAGAGAAGGTATCAATTGCAAGCTTTAAGGTTTATAGGGAGGGAATGTTGCCATGAGGGAAGAGGAGAAGGTCATCTGCAAAAATCAAATGAGAATAGCCAAGTCCCTTGCACCTCCAATGGAATTTAAATGGCCTTTCAGTGATAGCTTTGTCCATAATGGAAGAAAAGACCAACATAACTAGCACAAACAGAAATGGCGATATGGGATCCCCTTGCCTAAGACCCTTGATACTTTGGAAATGACCATTAAATTCTCCATTAACAGAGATGGTGAATGAGGGAGTGGAAACACAGGCATGAATCCATTTTATGAAAGTTTCAGGAAATCCGAACAGCTTCATAGTGTCAAAAAGAAATTCCCAGCAAACAGAGTTAAAGGCTTTCTTAATGTCAATTTTGATGGCACATCTTGGGTAATAAGCATTTATGTGGTAACCATGAAGAAGTTCTTGGGCCATAAGGATGTTGTCATCAATAATTCTGCCCTAAACAAATGCTGACTGAGTAGGTACAACAATGTGGGGAAGGATTGGTTTGAGTTTGTTTGCAAGTAGTGTGGATATACACTTGTATATGGTAGAGCAGCATGAAATTGGTCTTAATTCATTGAGGGGTGATGGGTTGGAGGTTTCAGGGACAAGTGCAAGGTATGTGGAATTTACTTCTTTGAGCAATTTTCCATTGTGGAAGAATTGTTTGATGGCTAGTGAAATGTCAGTCCAGCAATAGACCAAGCTTTCTTGAAAAAGAAAGTATTGCATCCATCAGGTCTAAGGGCCTTGTCACTACTCAGTGAGAACATGCATTACATGATTTCAATGTCAGTGGGGATGGATGTAAGTGATGGAATGAAGTGTGGTGGTATTGTTGAATGGATATAAGGAGTTAGATTGTTGATACCTGGGGAAGGATGAGGATTCATCCTTAGAGCTGTGGTGAAATGAGTAACAATTTCTTGTTTGATGCCTGCTCAGAGTCAAGTAAGATGCCATTTGCAGCAGTGATTGATGAAATTTTGTTCCTGTTAAGCCTTGAGGAAATGGATTTGTAGAAGTAGGAGGTGTCAGAATCCAAAGCCAAAGCATTCTGGATTTCTGCCTACATGTCTATTCCTCGACAGAACATAATCTGGTGTAGGTGGATAACAAGTGTTTCTCTTGGTTTCTGAGAGTGGTGTTGTTGGGTTGGGAATCAAGGGTTGTTTGACATTGAGACAAGAGCTCTTTTGTGGATTTAACCTTATCTTGCAATGTAGTGAGCTTTGTGGAGAATCTCTCTAAAGAGGTTGTTTGAGCCTCTTCAATTTGGTGATCACTTGAAACATTGGATATCCCTCTACTGGCTTGCTCCAGTGGGATTGGATGAGAGGGATAAATTCATCATTACTGCTCCAGCAATTAAAGAATCTGAAAGGTGTTTTCCTCACTGGATTTGGGTTTTCAAGGTTTATGAGCATGGGGGTGTGGTCTGAGATACCAATGGAAGAAAGGTGTAGTGGGAGAGTGGAAACAAATCATTCCATGAGTCATTAATAAGAACTCTGT